GACTGTGCTCATAGCCAACAATGTTTCTCTTCTCAACAAAGAGGCTAATGCACCAAGCTACAGTATTGACGATCTCAAAAACATTAAAAAGATAGCTGAAAGAGATGATGCATTTGACCTACTAAGTAATTCACTTGCACCTTCTATATATGGGCATTCTTGGATAAAGAAAGCAGTGATTTTGTTGATGCTTAGTGGAGTGGAGAAGAATTTAAAGAATGGCACTCACTTGCGAGGGTTAGTATTTTCTCTTGATCTCCTTTTCTGTTGCTGGAAGTTGGCATTATTGAAGTTCAATTTCAACACATTCTTACTTTACATTTATTTCTCCTAATATAAGATTGTAATGCTGTTATGTCTTGCTACTTTAGCGACATTAACATGATGATGGTTGGCGATCCCTCTGTTGCCAAGTCTCAACTCTTACGAGCAATTATGAACATTGCTCCCTTGGCCATATCAACTACTGGCCGGGGTTCTTCTGGGGTTGGTTTGACAGCTGCAGTTACTTCGGATCAAGAAACAGGTAAAACATTTGTCATGGGCTATTCATTATTATTTTTTTATTTTGTTGTTTAAAGAACATTGGTAATTTCTTTCTGCCAGGGGAAAGAAGGCTAGAAGCTGGGGCAATGGTTCTTGCTGACAGAGGTGTTGTCTGCATTGATGAATTTGACAAGATGAATGATCAAGATCGTGTCGCTATACATGAAGTTATGGAGCAGCAGACTGTTACTATAGCCAAAGCTGGTATCCATGCATCACTTAATGCTCGATGCAGTGTTGTTGCCGCTGCAAATCCTATATATGGAACTGTAAGTGGCATTATTTGAGTAATTTGCTGTGTATTGAACCGAGCCTTTAATTTCTTTTTAACTTGTGGCTTTTATTGTGCAATTCTACAGTATGATCGTTCATTGACTCCAACAAAAAATATTGGACTCCCAGACTCCTTGCTTTCTCGATTTGATCTACTGTTTATTGTGTTAGATCAAATGGATCCTGATATTGATCGTCGAATAACAGAACATGTCTTACGTATGCATCGATTTCGTTCTGCCGTTGATGGAGGTAGATAAGTAGTTTTCAAATGTTAGAGATGTGCTTATACAGGAAAAATTATTTTATTAAAATTAACTTGCCAATGTAGGTGAGGCAGCACTTGATGGGAGCTCAAGATATGGAAGGGAAGAGGAAGCTGATACGGACACATCTGTCTTCGTCAAATATAACAGAATGTTACATGGGAAGAAAGTTGAAAGAGGTCGCAAACGTGATACGCTCACAATTAAGTTTCTTAAAAAATATATCCACTATGCTAAGCATAGGATTCAACCTGAACTGACTGATGAGGTGATATGCATGGTTACTGTTAGAAATTCCATTTTTCTTGATTTATAATGAATTCCTTTTAATATTTTTCAATTTATCCATGGTAACAGAATTTTGGTCTGCTAATTTTATGTTAATTGCCATAGCTAAGTGGTTTTTCTTAAAGTCTAATTATTTTCAGCGATTATTATGCTTCTGTTCCAATTCATTATTATATAGACATGTTACTGACTTTAATTTAACATCAATTGACTTTGTCGACAGGCATCTGAGAGCATTGCCACAGCCTATGCTGAGCTCAGAAGTGCAAGCTCAAATGCAAAGGTTAGCATTGGGAATTGAAATTGGCTTGAAGCGTACGAGCCATTCTACAAAGTACTTTTTATTATTGATATCATGCTGGCTTTATGCAGACTGGAGGAACCCTCCCCATTACTGCCAGAACTTTAGAAACCATAATACGTCTCTCAACAGCCCATGCCAAATTGAAGTTGAGCAGACAGGTACTGTACTTGGCGACTACTCATAGTGCTCTCTTATTCGCTATTTATAATATAGTGAGATACATGTCCATTTTGATAAAAAGTCCAGACTCCAGAGGCCATGTCAATTAACCTCTCGGTTTTTCTTTGGTTATGTTTGGATAACTCTTTCTAAGCTGATTATTATTCTCAAAATGAGTTATTTGGCTGGTGGGTGTTAGGAGTAACGTGTTGTCATTTTCAGCCAAATATAGTGTTAGTATCTCCACAAAGTACCCAATATTACTTAGTTATAGGTATATGTTTGAAAAAATAAAATTCATTCTTTCAAATGTAACTATTTTATAATATAAAATTATTTTTTCTAGAATACATTTTTCACAAAGTAATTTTACACTTGCTCAAACATGCACTTGGCATTCTCCTTAACAACAATTTTTCTTGTTATGGTTGCTATATGCTTGTAAGTTTTGACTGGTGGTACTTCAGCAGCTTATGTGTTTTCACTGTTGTGTTTAGTACACTCCCTGATTTAGCCTACACTTGTCTTGTCAGGTTTCAAAGTCTGATGTTGAAGCTGCTTTGAAAGTTCTTAATTTCGCAATATATCACAAAGAACTGACAGAAATGGAGGAACGTGAGAATGAGAGGGAGAGAGAGCAGGACAGGAAGCGTAAGGCTGAGCATAATGAAAATGATGGTCCTGACCGTGGTACGAAAGATAGAAGAGGGTGAGTGATAGTCTATACACGTTGGAAAAGCTAAAATATTATAGCAAGCATCTTTTCATTCTAATTACCATAATTATCTTGCAAGAAAATTCATTTATTACCATATTCTATACCAGACACTAGATTAGCATCCTTGCACTATAGTAAGAATGAAGACACTTCTCTGATGGCATGTAAATATTGAGGGGGTTGATGTCTAGATTTCTTGAACATGTCTGGCCATTAATGAACTACATATACTCATATTGTCTTTATTTTTGGCTAGGTCAACATCTGATGCCATGGAAGTAGATGATACTCCAGCAGCACAAACTGCTGATAGTCTCACCCCTGAAAGGTTGGTCAACTTTCATTTCCTGTCTTGCAATTTTGTTTTCTTATATTTTAGTCTCTTCTGTACCTGTTTCTGACGTAAAATATCTTCCATTGACATGCAGAATTGAAGCATTTAATTCTCTATTTGGTCAGCATATGCGTGCCAACCGCCTGGATCTCATATCTATTGCTGACGTAGAAGATGTTATCAACAGAGGGGCACATTCGCCTTACAGCGCTGCAGATATACTACTACTATTAGAGGTATGATCTTCTGATGAATTTCTGGTTGGGCTGCCTTCCTATCATGAAGTCTGATAATAGTGTCTTTGTCTTTTCTGAAATTTCAGAGGTTGCAAGATGACAATAGAGTGATGATAGTTGATGGAATGGTGCATATGATATCATAGTGTTAGATTGTTGCCCAATCTCTTGACGAAGCTTCAGACAGGTATGCGATTTTATAAAATGTTTTTTTTATTATCATTAAGGGTTGAGATGTTTGTATTCATAATTCACTTTTAAACAGACTCAGTTACATCTCTAAACAACTGATTCTCGTAGCCAGCAAATCAGAAAACAAAGTTATACTGAATGATGAGCGCACATTTGTTTAATTTGACATGCATATTTACAAATTTTGCAATTGTAAAACTTAATTTTCATCTTGACAAAGAGAGGACGATTTTCAGGGAGCAGAATTTGCTGCCAGGGTAGTATGCACATCTTACACCGGAGTGAGACTAGAGAAGGATTCACAATTTGGAGTTAGTCTATGTACTTGCTATTTGGGTGTTCTTTGCCAACACTTCAAAGAAATAGCCTGTGATTGCATTGGCATATTCTTCGCCAGAGCTTTTCAAGTTATAATGAACTTTGTGATCCCCTCTTGGAAGGTTTTTCTTGTTTTGTCCATAATTTGATTTGATACTGGCCTTATCTTTATGTATTTCAGTACTGCTAACTGCTAATTATTCGTGTAAACAAGGCTTTAGAATTGAACTCTTTATTCTGGGTGTCAATAACTTTATTTTCCGTCACTTGCTGCGATGCTAGTTTTTATTGACACCTATTGGGATATGGTGTGGTTGGCAAAGTTAAATGTTTGGTAAAATTAATTGTTTAGTGTAAAATGGTATAAAAACGACTCATGATTAGATATTGTGGATAGAAATGAAAGGAAAAAAAATAAAAAAGATAAACATGGAGCTTGGCCCTGTTGATGACATCATAAAATATTCTATCATTTCAAAATGCATCCTTTCAAACGAAACCTCTTATCCTCTCTAAATATTGTGGGGCATAAAAACATTCTGTTCCGCACCTAGTTGAAGAATATCATCCCGTCTACGAAGTCAGTTAGAAGTAAGTCAAGCAATTATCAAGTAAACGTACAACATCAATCTATGTATGCTAGGTACTAGAAATTTTTAACACAATAAAAAATGTAATCAATTGTGTGCCTATATCACAATTGAGGTGAAATATTTCATAAGAAACCAACAGATGTTGTACAAAGGTGTCTACTTCAAGAACAAGATGCATCCCTCCAATTTCCTTCTTAAACTGAGATATTGATTGAAAGAATGTGTAGTGAGAATGCGTTAAAATGGGTCTTGGCCTCGGTACAATTACAACATATGAACTCAATGTTACCTGGCTATATAAGTTAACTAGTTAAGCTGTTCAAAAAATTAAATACACCGATATTGAAATTTCAAACGATATCTGAACTATTATATTTAATCAGATTACTTGTTTGGTTACGCAAAAAGAAACACAATATTTGAACCTCTTTTTTGTTACGTATGAACAGGTTAATCTTTTTTGGTACATGTCAAAAGGCAAATCTATAAAAACAGTAATGAAATAACTCGGGATTTTCTTTTACAATAACTCAACATTTTAATCAGCACTTATTTTACATGAGTTTGAAATGATTTGAATATTCTTTCACTGTAGTATGAGATGGTTTACTATTAAATATCAATCATATTTATGTTTCTGAAACCTAAACAGCTAACATTCTCAGAAGAGTAGGCAGGTTATGAGGAGGTAACCGAGGAAGAGTAAATCAATTTTGTTGCTCCCACAATCCTATCTATAGAACATCAAGGATAAATATATCTTTTTTAAGGTGTAGCATAGCATAAGTATATCCTATTATTGAAGTAAATGGGGAAATGAAGTACTACTGATATAAACAATTTCTGAGGCCTTAATTTCTAACCTTTTTAACGATCATAATCCAATAAAAAGAATTAGGACCACAGAATAAGTGAACAGGCATGAACTGAAACCATAAACTCTGTTCATCCAGTTGGCCTTTCAGGTTCAAAATTTTTGCTACCCGAATATAAACAAGATATCTCCCTGTGTTAACAGTCAATTATTACTCTAAAACTTCTAAAACACCCTAATCCCTGAAACTAATAATTCTGGAGAGGGGAGGGTTGCTCCAGAGACCATTTTGTGTGAGAGAGGAAATGATTGAGGCAGCAATGTGTGTGACATTAGTTGTACCCACACCAAGAGTTCATTTGTCAAACTCCCATATAACCCCTCCATCTTCTGCAATACCAAAATAAAAGACCATGGCAACAATCACTAATTTGAAATTTGGACAAATAAGAATAAAGCCATTAGTGTTCAAACAACTAAAATCTTGTCATGTAACATAGAATATCAGCCGTTTGATTTACATGCGTCTGTTTTGATAAATGAAATAAGTTCTTCATATGCTAAAATTAGTTTACACAAGTTAATTTGTAGAAGTTCTTTCATATTAGTTTTTCCAAAAGCTTATATTTAACTTGTGCACAAGCTAATTTTAACATATGGAAAAACTTATTTCATTTTTTCTTTCTATTTTCTTATCTTATAGGTGTTTGTGAAGAAATTTATCCATACAGACTCTTAAACAGAAGTCATAAACGCGAAGCAAGCTTGCTGAAGATACAATGAACATCACAAAATACATAATTATGAACATTGATAACTTGGCAACTAAAAACTTTTCATATGCCTTGTTTAAATAAATTTTTCCATAAACACTTATAAAATTAGCTTATCCATAAGTTAAAATTAACTTACACACTTTAACTTTCATATAAATCCTTTCATCTAACTTTTTTCAAAAGCCGAGGTGCATAGTTTATTTTAAATTACAAGTCTAAAAAGTATACCAAGCCCTGTCAAGTAGTAGTGAGGTTTGAAGGTGTTAAATATGAATGATTGGGACAAAAAACTCAAAGGGCTTAAAACAAAGAATGTCATTCATCATTTGATCAAGTCATAAAATTATCAAGACTAAAATCAGGACAGGACTAATATAAGAGACTGATATTTGGTAATTCTAACCACTAAAAATGACATTTTTTTTTAATTTTTAATTTCAATGGTTTAATTGATGAGTACAATTTTTTTTTCCTAATAACTATGTTATTCATGCAAAATATCTACCTAGTTCACTGGTAACTAATATCGATCAGGGGACCTGGCCATGGCTACTTTAGTAGGATCTCCCATTTCAATTAAGTTTTTTTTATCTACAACTACAAGACTTGAACCGAGACTTCATTTAAGGAGACCGAATCCAAATCCAGTTCTATTAAGATTACCAACTTGTTGGTTGATGGGTACTACTTTGGTGAATTACTTTGAACAAAATTTAAATGTGAGAGGCTAAATTTAGGGTTTAATGAGAACGGAAAGAGAAGAAGACATAAACGATTACCTTTAACTTTCTTTTGAATCCAGGTCTCAACAAGCATTCCAGCAGCTACACCACCAGCAACACAAGCACTGCAGAATAATAAGGCTGAGGATAGCGGCCATCGAGGAAGGAAATAGTAATCAGGAATTTGCCTCATTTTCTTGGGTAACCGTTTCTTCAAGGTTGGTTGAACGCTCGGATTTTGCTGCATCTCGCCACCAACGGCTTTCCAATCCACCCCTTTCAACGGATCCTTCGTATCTTTACTTTCCATAATGCCCCAAATTCACAAATTATGCCACAATTGGACAAAGCAAAACCTCGGAATTTACAGGAACCTAAACAAAATCGATCAGCGATGGTAGGTGCAGAGTACACAAACTGCAAAAGGCATCACGTGTTATGATATGAAACTCACAAGCGCTTGGTTTATGAAACAGAACAGTGAGATGAAGAAAGTATAACAAGTCAGAAAATCGAATGAGGTTCGGTGAAATACCTTATTACAGGACACAATTTCTGGATTGAATAAAAAAAAATTGGACGTGTAGAAGAGAAAAGAAAACCTAATTCGAAACGCGGCTTTTGGTGTCGTTTTGGGGCTTTTATAAAACAATCATACTATAGAAAAGAAACTAGAAGCTAACGTAACGTATCGCGTGATTGGGACACGTGGCACGGTTAGCGCGTCTTGTTTGGGAGTCTGGAAATTACAAGAAATCTCCGTTTCACAGTCACTGTCACGTCAATGGCTGCCACTCTCACAACTGTGAGAATCCCCACTTTCCACAACCTACGACGATCTCGCACTCACCAACGCTCTCTCAACGAACACTTCATCTCCCTTCTCACTTTCGCAAAGGTAACAACACATTACTCCACATCTTGTCTTGTAACAAAACGCGTAAATGTTTGGTTTTTCCAGCATCATGTGCATGCCAAAAACTTGCCCTTTATTTATTTTGGATGTTAGATGGAAGGAAGTGAGATCACTGAGCAAGTGGGAGAGGATTCGAGAGCAAAGAAGAAAATTTTTGTTGCTGGGGCCACTGGTAGCACTGGGAAGAGAATCGTTGAGCAGTTACTGGCAAAGGGTTTTGCTGTTAAGGCTGGGGTTAGAGACGTCGACAAGGCTAGAACCACCCTTTCCTCTGCCGACCCATCTCTTCAAATTGTAAGTTTTTTCACTTTCTTGTTGCCTCAATGAATAAGCCAATCCAATCCAATCCTTTTTATTTTTTATTTTTATGCTGTTTAGTTTTTTTAGTGTGTAGATGAGTGATTTATTATGCAATTTGGTGTGTATGGTGTAGGTGAAAGCTGATGTCACAGAGGGCTCTGATAAGCTAGCTCAAGCCATTGGTGATGATTCAGAAGCAGTAGTATGTGCCACTGGCTTTCGCCCAGGGTGGGATTTGCTTGCACCATGGAAGGTTTGTCAAATTTTTCTGATCTCTTGTTGGTAATGTAATTGTAATGATCAAGGACATGTTCCATCTACTATAAGTGCTTATGGAGAATAAAATATGAAAGAAAAATAAAATAAGTTTTTTATTAGCTAAAATTAGTTTAAGGATAGGTTAATTCGTAGAAATTCTCTCATAATAACTTCTCTATAAATTATTTTTTAACTAATGTATATGCTATTTTTAGCTTGAGAAACTAATTTTATTTTTCTTTCCTATTTTTTTCTCGTACATATACTTTTGGAGAAGTTCATCCTAACTTATCCTAAATGTATAGCCATTTGTTATGTTGTTGTTCCTCACTTTTAATATCATCAGGAATTTGATTAATGCCCTTTTCCCAATAATACATGTTGATTTTTGTGCTCAACATATACAATGGTAGAAGTTATGGAGAAGTAATTTGAATAATTTTGATAGTGGGATAGACTATATATATATATATATATATTTGTAGTGTGTCATTGTCTAAACTTTAAAAAATTGATCCCCTTTTCCCTCTTGATTTTTGGGCTTGAAACTGTGGAGATAATCTAACCAGGTTCTTTGTTTCTTCCATGCCTATATTCTGCGGTTTGATTCATTTTTTAGCTCTTTTTAGTAACTGAAATCATTATGGACATTAGTAGGAATTAAGGATGTTGATTGAGGAGAGCCATTAGAATCCTTTTATTCTACTTAGATATGCAAATTTGTGTGTTTCCATGTGCTTTCATCTTTGGAAGTTTTAAGACTTTTCAAATTTATATTCTTTATTTGTGAAGGGATAAAATGTCTGTATCACTAATTTGAAACATTATCTGCCCTTTAAATAAGTTAAGTTCATTAGAAACTAATTACATTACAAAGAAAAACAACAGTAATGCAAAAGATCATTGCTGGGTGGGTGGATTATTCAGTCTCTTTGTATCCTTCACTGCTTTCTTATAATAAAGGGATATATTACGCAGGTTGACAATTTTGGCACTGTAAACCTTGTTGAAGCATGCAGGAAACGTAATGTTAACAGATTCATTCTTATCAGTTCCATTTTAGTTAATGGAGCAGCTATGGGACAGCTACTCAATCCAGCTTACATCTTTCTTAATGTTTTTGGACTTACCTTGGTAGCAAAACTACAGGCTGAGAACTATATCAGGAAATCTGGTATAAACTACACAATAATAAGACCTGGAGGGTTAAGAAACGATCCTCCTACTGGAAATGTTGTTATGGAGCCAGAGGTAGAACCTACATTTCTGACTTTCTATTACATTTCCACAGTAGAATCTTAAGTGTATATTTTGAGGAACACTTGTGGAAAGATTTAATTTTATTTTTGTGTATCAGGACACCCTTTATGAAGGTTCCATATCCAGAGATCAAGTTGCTGAAGTGGCTGTGGAGGCATTGGCTTATCCCGAGGCATCTTATAAAGTTGTGGAAATAGTGTCTCGCCCTGATGCTCCAAAGCGCTCATACCATGACCTTTTTGGTTCCATAAGGCAACGATGATTCCATAGTTTAGGACTTGACTGCAGATTAGTGAATTGGTTTTCCTGTTTAATTGTTTTATGGTGGCAAATGAATATCTTTACTGTGTTCCATGTGTGTTGCTTCATTCAATGGGTACGCTAGAATAATAATAGTAAATATTTCAAATATTTCAATTTAAGCACTAGACATGATAAAACTACCTTTGCTTAGCTAATTTAAGCTCTTATCAACTGGGTTATAAACTTTACTGAAGGCTCGTTGAAATAAGTTAATAAAAGCTCATTTTGATAAGGTTTTTTTTCCCCATTAAGTTTATTAAAACAAGCTAAACAAAGCTTATAAGTAGGCCATAAGTCACTTTCATAAGTTGAAATATGCTCTTCCAATTGTCTCCTTAATCATCTTCAGGATTGTAGTTAACCAGTTAATGCATTAGGAAGAATTAGAATCTGGAAAGACATGAAGAAGTTGCACCGGAGGTTTTTCTTCTCTTTCGGGGCTGCCTCTTGGTAGAGGCTACTGCATGGACACGCAGGATCCCTCCCTTCTCTCTCATTTTTTTTTTTTCAAAAATTTATTGAGGGGATTAAATAGATTGAGTGATCTAATATAATATCAGAAGATTAAGTTCTATGATTCTACACTTATAGGACAAAACTTAGATATAATATCATAGATTATGTTCTCTAATCGGAATTGATGTTTCATTATATGAATAATAAATGATTCCATTGACGGGGTTAGACACTTGTGTCATGTTTATGATATTTGTTGTATTAGAAGTGAAAGGAAACATTACATAGATGGTTTGACAATGTTGTGAAAACACTAATTTCTGAATCCAATCACATTACATGGATGAGTTCCAGATCCCATCTCTGTATCCACAAGCACCAACCCACTGAAAATAAATAATTAAATCATGTAATCTTATACTCTCTCAGCAACACCAGATTACACTGCTAAGGTAAACCAAGCAACCACAGAAGCAATGGCTACAAAAACTGCTGGGGCACAAAGATGCACTCCTGCACTTTCCATTGGTGTAGGTGGAATTGCAGCAACATCTTCTACAACACTCTCAGCCACACAAGAGTGAACAAAAACCAACATAGCCATAATGTAGATAGTGAGAACTATGGCAACCTTGCAGCTCTCCATTTTTCTACCAGCTATGACTTGATAATGAACTACATGAAAATACCGGACACTAAAACTCGTTTTATAGTTAGGATTTTGAGACAAGTGAGCAATTTTGAGCTGTAATATGTGGCTTAAGCAGTAAACATAATGATTTGAGAGTGTTGGGGGTAATAATAATGTTATGTCTCCCTCATCTTAAACAATTTGTGCTTCTGCACTGTATAACGGTGCTCACTTAGTAGTGTGTCGTAAGCATTAAGCATGCGAATTAAATTAGACAAAATAAAAAAGTATGAAAAAACATACTACGCGTTAAATTATTAATGAGGCTTTACATTAAGCCTTGAAGCGCCACGTTAGTTTACGCCAAATAAACTATTAAGTAATACAAGATTACTAAGTGTAATTTGGAATTATCGAATAATTTTTCCTTTAACTGGCATAAGGGTTTTAATTTTTTTAATTCATAAAAGATATGGTAGGACAATTTTTTGTCTATCAATAAAAAAGATACCGTGTAAGAAAAAAAATTTGGTGGCAAAATATGAAGGTGTAAAGAACGTGGTATCTGACATATTGTCCAGTTCTAAACTATGTCCACCATCAAAGTGAGAACCCAATTAAAGGCTGAAAATCTTGATTTCTCGTAATTTTATATTATTTTGTTGCTTAGAACATTATATAATATTCAAAGTATAACTTCGTTTACTACTAATCCGATCATAATTTAATTACAGATAAATCATTAAATTTTGAACTAGTGATATTCGGAAATCAATCATTCTTTGGATTTAAAAAATATTTACGCAATAAATGAAAACAATTTTCGTTGTAATGTACAAAAAAGTCCTTACTTGTTAAGATGGATTGTTGCAAGATTTTCCGGAATACTAATTGTTTGAGGGCTATTCATAGCATTTCATTCACAAAGAAATAAATAGTTTACTAAAATATATATTTTATATTGTATTGTACCTATCAACAAGACTCTGTGGCCCAATGGATAAGGCGCTGGTCTACGGAACCAGAGATTCTGGGTTCGATCCCCAGCAGAGTCGTTTTATTAGCCTTTGTTTTTACTGTTTTATTTTACACAAAAAGATAAATAGTTATATAATTTAGCATAATTTTTATTAGCAAATTAATCAGGACGACGAAACATAAATTTAGTTGTCGCCTTATTATTATTATTATTTTTTTTACACAAAAGATAAATATAGTTATGTTATTTTTACTAACAAAATTAGTCAGGATGGCCGAGTGGTCTAAGGCGCCAGACTCAAGTTCTGGTCTTCGTGAGAGGGCGTGGGTTCAAATCCCACTTCTGACAGTTATTTTTCATTTTTACAAATATATCTAATGCTAATAATGTTTTTCCTCATTCTGATTTTTAGTTTGTAAAATACCAAAAAAACCTTATTTGCACTCCATTTTTATTATTTGAATATCTTGCAATTTTTATTTGATTATACAAATCTTATTTTTCACATACGTATTTCAAAATTATTTCACAAAAATTAAAGAGACAATATTAATTTAGAATCTATGATTCCAAAATTATTGTAAAAAAATAATTAATCTTCGTTCGTTCGTTATTTCTTTCTTCTAACATGTGATTAAAAACTTTTTGATGAGTAAGATTGGATCATCTATCTTTGTTATTATAAATTCATTACTAATTATTGTGTTTTTTTTTTAATTTTTCTTCTTCTCGAGATCAAAATTATTTCTTTATTCTAAAGTTAAATATCAAGTCCTCACAATTATTATTTACTTAGTTTAGGTTCACTTAATTATTTAATGGTCTTTATGCTCTTTTCATCTTTCTCACCTTGTTATATTATGATAGTCATACTTGACACATTATTATTAAGAGTTAATCATTTATACACTGTTAGTGTAAAAATTTTTACACTGGCAACCAATCATATCTTTTAAAGTTACTTATTTTATTATTATTTTATTAAATAAGCAACTAATATGACAGTATTAAAAGATATAATTAGTTGCTAGTGTAAAAAAATTTTACACTGACAATGTATAAATAATTAACTCTATTATTAATACTAACTTATACAAACATACTAAACACATTAAGATCAATTACTATATTAATGTGAAACTTCAAAATCAATTGTTTCATTTATCACTAGCCTCTATTATAATTTAGCTGGTAAACATATTGGCCAAATTGTAGATCCTCATCCATTATATCAAACCCTCAAAGTTGGATGATCAACATCTGTTCTTCAACATGTAGGGATATTACAACATAATAAAAGTGTTAGTTGGTACCTTCAAATCAACTAAATTGGTTAAGTTGTATGATATAAATGGTGGCCTCTCTCATCAAGCCTAAACCTAGCTAGCCTAAAAGTAATGGTATCATATATGTTGTTAGACATATGTTTAGCATTGTGACCTAATTATGATTCACTCATATTAGTGAAACCACAATAAACTACAACAATAGTGATAATTTTATAAAAGGAAAATAATAACACAATAAGCCCAATTAGCATGATAATGGAAAATTTACAAAAAATAGTAACCCAAAGCATAATGGACCCATTAACATGTTAATAAACTAAAAACACATTGAAAGGGAGATAAAACATTATTAATAAAAGGAAGCAAGGCTCGAGAAAGAATTGAGTAGGGGCATAAAATAGGGTGGCAACTTATCAAAACTCCAAGATTAGCATCATTTAGTCCTCATGTGAAACATAATGGTGGTGGTGGAAATCAGCGAGGCTAGAGGTTGATGCAACGTGGTGTGTGTACGTTATTAAAGACTTCATATCAATTAGTGAGATTATCATAATAAAATATATAACTGAGAAATAACTCTTATTTTATAAGTTAATTTTATAATGTTGATTTAAATTAAAACTCACGTTCTAAAACATGCATTTCGGAATTTACTGGTTTCGGATTTTAGTGCGGTGAATGAAAATGTTGAATATATATAATAACATATACATAGTGATGGGGTCTAGAAGAAAGATCAAGTCATGTTTGGTGTAGCTTGAGCTTTATGGGTTTTGTTAAAAAGAATGTTCATGTAGGAAAATGTTATGATAAATATGAGTTAGCAGTGGAGATTGAAAGGTTCACATGATGTTAGAAGGATGTAAGATAATGATGACTTTCATAGAGAATTAATTCCCCCTACCTCTAGTGGTATATGTCGTAAAAGTATATATTTTGGATACCATTTTTTTTAATACAGCAGATTCACATACATGTTTTTATATTAGTATATTATTATCTAAAAATTGTTATAAATTTATTTTTGTTATTATCTTAAAAAATCTCATATTAATTAATAGAAATTTTGAGTATTTATAAATCTATATTTTTTCTCTTATTTTAATGATGAGAAACTTTATTTATATTTTAATATCACTGAAGTGAAAAATGGAGTTCTGGTGTGGGGTTTAACATGAATCCTTATGATGACTATTTGAACATCTAGTGCGGTTGAGGTAAAGTTACATTCATCGAAGCATAAGCAATAAAAGCAACACAATAAAAGGCACCTGGGATGAGATCAATGCTACTATAATTATTTTATTTATATTACTTTATACTTATATATATATATATTATCTTCTTCTAAGTAATTTATTTTTTAGTTATAATTTTCCATTTCACTTTAAAAAAATGCCATCCATAAACTTTGGTGAATAATTTATATCAATATTAAAGTAAATTTATTTTTAGTTCTTCTAATTTAAAATTAATTTTTTTAGTCCTATAATTTTAAAAAATTATTTTTTATATTAAAATTTTATTAAAAAATCTGTTAAATATTTTATATAAATTTATCCACAAATAATATATCACTGTTTTAAGAAAAAAAATGAAGAATACATGGGAGTACAAATTACACTATTTGTAAGTTTTTTTTTTGTCCATTCGGTATTTGGACTTATAGATATATATCATATAACAAAGTTGGATCTTGGTTTTGATTAATTTCAAAATTAGTGAAACCTTTTGCCTTTTCTTAGAAGTGTTCAATCACCAATAGTGCACGGTGTTGTATTTCACGAAGATATTATATTTTTGTTTTTACACTGAGGACATCTTCCGATTAATAGTCGGAGACAAATTTTAAACATTCTTTCTCATTTGACTTGACTCAAATTATACTAATAATCTAAACTTAAAAATGAAAATATTTTATTATTCCCAATAAAAATAAAATAAAAACGATAGTTTTATTTAAATTTATTTCAATAGAATCCTAATAATGGCATTTATTTTTACATAAATAATTTAAAGACTTTGTAGTTGAATAATTTATTTTATGAAAGTGTTTCGTAGTTGCGCAAGACTAAAGCAAAACGTATAAAAAGAAAGTAAAGTGAAAAGGCTAAATAACACAGATGCGGTGAGCGTGGATCGAACACGCGACCTTCAGATCTTCAGTCTGACGCTCTCCCAACTGAGCTATCCCCGCTGATTGATAAACCCCAGACAACATCCACAATTCTCCCCAGAAAAGACACTACTAAGATTGCATCAAATTCTTAACAATTCGTCCGTTCGATTAAAAATTCATCCATTAAATTATATATACGAGTAAGTTTACTTAAATTAGTCTACTTAATAATTTATATTTTACATTAAATTTTAACAATTCGTCCGTTAGATTAAAAATTCCTAACACATAAATTAAGTTTGCAAAATTTTAAAAATTATTTAATATTTTATTTCATTAATTCAAATTAATATATAAAATACTTTTATGATTATAAAGTATAAAATAAATTTCAAATTTTTTAAGATTTTGCAAATATAAGAAAATTTAATTTAACGGACATATTGTTAAAATTTGATATAGAATATAAGTTATTAAATGAAGTAAATATAAATAAAATTATTATAAGATTAAGTTAATTCCCTTATTTTTTTTGGTGCATAGTTAATTTCTTATATATATATATATATTGACATGTATATATAGATATTACAAATATGTAAATCTTATAGTATTATATTTATACTTCTGGTTATTAGTTATGAACCTTAAGTAGAGTTTGATGATATTTTACTATGTTTATGCGAAAGCGGAACAAAACTATGAATGCGAGTGCGTGACAACGGGAGGTTTTGTTTGTAACGATGTGGTCATAATTTTGTTGAATTACTAATATCGTGGCATGAGGCATGTTAGTCTCGATTAACGAAGCAGAAGCAGAAGCAGAGTAATGTATACATTTTATTTGTTTGTCTTCTTAGTATGAGCCATCTCAAATCTGATTCTTCACGTTCACCCCTCCAACTTCTAACTCATCACGGACCACGGAATGTGGCCTCGCAGACAACACCAACACTACAAACTAAATATTTTAGTTTACAATTTTTTGTGATTCTCAACAACCTATATTTTTTACTTTTCTTTTATCATTTCCCTTTTTCTTCCTAACAAGTTTGTATGGCTAGGGCCTAGGGGTGAATTCAAAATGACTTGTTGATTTCTTCCAAGTGAATTAGGTTAGGTTGAAATAGATTTTATTAGGGTTGTGTATTGAATATACTTGTCTGTTTGTCATAAGTTATAATAATTTTTTTAAATATGACATAAATTTAACTTGTAAGTTTTCACTTTTTATATAAGTTAACATGTTTAATAATTAAAAATAAATAAATAATATACAATTTTAATATATTATAATAAATTTAATAAAATAAAAAAAAATTATTTAACCTATTTAAATAGGTTGATCTCGTGTGTCTAATAAATTTTTAAAATGGTTTAAAATTTAACTTTTTTTAATTAAATAAATTTGAGTATCAAAACGAATAATATATGAAGACCTAATGAGTATTAAAACGAATAATATCTCAAATGCAGTAATAATGTTAATTATTTTAAAAAACTTGAGGTTGAAATACTAATAATAGAAGGAGAACCTAGTCAAATAAGTGACTCTTGTTCCTTAACCTCAATTGGGTACTTATTCTAGTTTTGTCCAAAAGTTATATATCACTTAGGAGTCACCACCAATAGTCATTTATAAACATCATTATCTCTTAATTCATGTATAAATCTTTTTAAGGATAAAATTTGTGACAGACATTAAAGTAAATAATACTTCAAATATGATGATTATAATGATATCAATGAATTTGAGGGTTTTACTGAAATGTTCATAAGTTGTATTTTTTTTATATACTAAAGTTACAATAATAACATTAAAATTTGAATCTAAAATCTCATGTATTTACATAAATTATGTCTATTTAATGATATGGAATTTATTAAAATTTACCAAATTTCATATATATTTTTTTAAATAATTATATGATTTTAAAATTTTGATTGTAGTATGTGATACATAAAAGTATAAGATCAGAATATTTTTATTGAATAACTAAACATATTTTATTTTATTTTATAATAAATTTTCTTTATTCTAAGAAGATTAAAATCTATTAGTAATAGAGATTTTCAATATAATAATAAATAAATATAATACTAAAAAAAAATATTTTCTTCTGGTCTTTTAGAAAATTAAGTAAATAATTTAAAATTATTCTAATTTTAAATATTTAATTAGTAATAATTATTTTCATTACAAACATGAGAAAATATTAATACCATTCTTACATGTAATCAACTACCAAATTCTATTCCAGAATTATTTTCTAGATTTTTGTTCAATATATTTCTTAAATTAAACCTCAATAAAAATATCATTTTTTTTCTCGAAATTCATTCTTTTAATACTATTTTTTCTTCTAAAAATTGATACATTAATTATAGCAAAAGATAAAAATATAATTACCTCTTAAAAATATATATATATATATATATTTTTTTTCTTCTTTATATAACATCTTTAGATACTTGTTAATAATTGTATAAATATTTTACCTGCTTCAATACTATTATTTCAAAAGTTAATATAGATAATCATTAGGGTTAGTCTAGTGATTAGGTAAAGAGAGATTGGAATAGTCAGAAACACAAGAACCTAGATCTAGTCCTAATTACGATTATTTTTATAATCTTTTTCATCTTGACCAAAAGGAAAAGAAAAGTTGATATAGGTGGATAAAAAAATTATTAAACGATGTGAAATTTTAGAATTTCTTGTGCTCTTATTTTATTTCATTAATTAGACCTAAAATAAAATTTTAAAATGGCAATAGTTTTGAAATGAAAAAAAAGAGTCTATAAATTTGACTAAATCTTATTTGAGTTGATTGTAAGAAGTACTAAGTAGCAAGTACGAAGTTTGCGGGTTCTTGGTTCTCATTTTCAGAGTAGAACAGTGTCACTCAGTCACACACAGTAAATGGCTTCCTCAGGCGGGCATCACGATCATCACGATCATCACCATGACCATGAGCACGAGCATCATGAGGGTGGAGAGGGAAAGCGCAATTCATGGGTGGGTGAGGATGGGAGGGTGTACCACAGCCACGATGGTCTCGCACCGCATTCTCACGAGCCCATATACTCCCCTGGATACTTCAGCAGAAGAGCTCCACCTCTTCACAACAGAAACTTCAACGAAAGAGCCTTCACCGTTGGAATTGGTGGACCTGTTGGTACTGGGTGGGTCTTCTCTTCTCTCTATCTTATGTAACCCTTTGCTTTAACCCTATGATGCACCGATACGATACGCGTATCGGATAAGACACGTATCCGATACGGCGATACGTTTATTTAAAAATATATAGGATACGATACTTGTAAGATACGTGTCCTCATATATATCAATGTTCATACAATATAATAAATGTGTACTAGTAATTTTGATCAAAATTCATAAACATTTAATATATAATAGCTATTTTGCAAATCCAAATTAAAAACAAACTTATTGTACATTTCTAAAAGTAAATAAATTATAAATCATTTTATCATAAATTACTTTTTATTATTTACAAATAGAATTAATATTACCAATTTCATTTCTTTCTTAAAATTATCTATATAAAAGACAATTTTCATTTATAGTTCAACAAGGACCAATAGTTCTATGTTTCTATATTAAACATGTTTATATATCTTATTTAGCTGTAATGGATATTTCATAATTTTTTAAAAAATTTGAACACTTTATCGATACGTATCACTAATAAGTATCGATGAAGTATCTAAAAGTATCGAAATTGAATAATTTTTTTATAATATTTTTAAAGGCTAGTAGGATACTTCATTGACACGTATCGGTGAAGTATCCAAGAGTATCGTATCGGATACGTATCGGATACGGATACGTGAAGTAAATTGAAGTATCGGTGCTTCATAGCTTTAACCCTTTTTGATTTTCATGCCAATGCAGAAAAACAGCTCTCATGTTGGCCCTTTGTGAATTCCTGCGGGATAACTACAGTCTTGCAGCTGTGAGTTTTTCAATCTTCTTCAAATTCTGTTCTCTTTCAGTTTTACCCTTAAACGTGCTTCTTTGTTTCAGGTCACAAATGATATATTCACTAAAGAGGATGGTGAGTTTTTGGTGAAGCACAAAGCACTTCCAGAGGAAAGGATACGCGCTGTCGAAACTGGGGGTTGCCCACATGCTGCTATAAGAGAGGATATCAGTATTAATCTTGGACCCTTGGAGGAGCTTTCTAACCTCTATAAAGCTGATTTACTTCTCTGTGAATCTGGGGGAGGTATTCTTATTTATCTTATCTAATAATTACTTACTGCAATAGGATTAGAATGTAAATTAAGATGTTTTTACATGCTCATTTGATCACACAAAATAACTAATTTAAAAGTCAGGATAAACTTATCAAGAAACATTTATCGGAGAAAGAAATTAGGGAGAGAAAATAAAATTAGCTTCTTCCATGACTTAATTTTTAGAAATTCCCTCCTATCAATTTTTCCAAAAGATTAATGATGAATGCACAACAACTTGTACATTTTTTTTGTCTATTTCTCTTCATCACTTTATTTATTACATTTATTATTAATGATGGAGGGAGACAGACACAAAAAGTGACAATGTGACGTTGTACAAGTTGTTGTTCAAGTGTAATTGCTCTTTTTAAGAACTTATTTTTAACATAAGCATAAGATAATTTTAGTTTATGAAAAGTTTATTTCATTTTTCCTTTCTATTTTTCTTTTTAACTAGTGCTTTTGGAGAAGTTTATCCAAATAAGTCTATTTCTGATTGGTTGCCACTTGCTAGTGTAAAGATCTTTATGCTAAGTGTGCGTGAAAAATATGTTTAAAATTATTAAGTTAAATATGATATCAATCTTATTGCACTTACATGTGTCATTGTTTTAAAAATTATGTTAGGTCCCCGAAAGCTTTGGATATTCACTTGAGTTTCTTTCTTCTGCAGATAACCTGGCTGCCAATTTCAGCAGGGAATTGGCTGACTATATCATTTACATAATAGATGTGTCTGGTGGTGATAAAATTCCACGGAAAGGTGGCCCTGGAATCACACAAGCTGATCTCCTTGTAGGTGCTATTTGCACAGATCCTGCATCGTGGTTTTCATACATATTAATACAATCCTTGTTGCATGATTTTAGAATATGATTGTGGAACTGATTGGACTTCATTCCAGGTGATAAACAAGACTGACCTTGCTCCAGCAATTGGAGCTGATTTGGCAGTCATGCAGCGGGATGCTCTGAGGATGAGAGATGGAGGGCCATTTGTCTTTGCACAGGTTAGTTAAGTACATTATTTATTGGGTTAGTAGTGTTTTAAATTCCTGCTTAATACACTTAAGCCCCACGGTATGTTCAGGTTTCAGTTTTTCACTTTTTGTGTACATTGCTGTGCTCAATTTTTCTGTACTTGCACCCTTTGTGGAATTCATTATATCCAGCAGTTAACATTCTTTTAACAATATTGCCTGGTTCTCTTAACTATAACCCTCAACCAACATGTTTTACTTACAGAAAACAAAATAGTTTGAGCATTTGAGAGCCATTGTAGGTTTAGATTTGTATGGAAGAGTCTGTAGCAATTTCCTCTTTAGCTGATGATTGCTGAAAATATACATATCTAGAAAGTACATGAAGTGAAAGGGGGTGTTCGAAAGTCCACTTGCAAGAGTACGTACAGATAGCTCATATATTAATCTTTAAACATTAATAGTCTAATAAAAATTAAAAAAAATAGGCTGCTTTATTTTTCACCTTATAGCCTAGCAGCCAGCCTTAGCATATTGTTCATTAATCACTATCATGTTGGATTTAGTTGGGTTTGTATATGTTGGGTTATAGTAGCTTTGTCTGAGTCAATTTTACTGTTTTGCTCTGTATTAACTTTTGAATAAAAAAGAACTGGTACAAGTAATAAATTTGAAAGAGAAGTATCATTTAAGATTATTAGGATCAATACCAGAATTTGGAAACACCCAAATATTATTTATGTTTAAGGTAAATTACGTACCTCTTTTTGACATCTTCTATAACTCTCCCTTGGTGTCACAAAAACGTACACATGTGTATAAGTCAAGAACAAGCCCTTCCACTTGAACTTCCCCTCTTTCAAAGACTGACCCCTTGATGGAACCATGAGCTGTCAGAGAGCGTATGTATCTCAAGAGTCAAGTGGGGATTCTGTCTCCTTTTAATAAAAGAATAAAATAAAAACATGGATCACCTAATTTCCATCCATCATGAATATTAGGCCCATTAGGCCCTACACATACTACTCAGTACACTCGTATATTAGACTCGGCCTAATAATTATATGTACACATGGTGATTCTCAAAATCCAAAATAGGATCGTAGGATAACATATCAGGTCATACATTCAACCCGTTTTAATAAATTAAAATTATACCAATCAATAGTAGTTCAAATAAAGAAAATTCTAACGGTATCATCTTCCCAAGAAAAATGAGTGCCCTCTTTCTATGTTATTTTTTAAGTAACTATGCTTGCTTGTAATGTCTGGGTTATCACACTTAAAGCAAATATTTTTTTATTAAATAAAAGATAAAATAAAGAGAACATAAGTGCTCTGCTTTTGTCTGTAATTAGAAAGAATTAAATAAGGAACCATTAATATGAAAGAAATAAATGGCCTAACCTTAAAATCACGTGCAGGCATAAAAGTGATAAAACCAAGGAACTCCGTACCTTTCTGACTTCGTTTTTAGATTGCATTTTCCCTTGTTTATACAAACTGAGGACCTGTTTCTTTACACCAAGAATCAGTTCTCCATATCATGCAGGTGTTCTAATGCAAAATCTGTGGCTGTGATTAGTTTGGGTACAAATTGAATTGCAATTATGTTCAATGGTTTAAAATTAACTCTACCCATTTTTCAAACAACGGGCACTGAATTGTTCATACACCAATGACATTGACCCCATAATAAGAGATTTCATTAGATAAATTCTGAGAAAATTGATTGATTGATGTTTTGCGTTGTGAATCTTAGATTTGTTTTATAAGCAGGCAAGGGAGTGACTATTTGTAATAAAAGTTTAGGTACTATACCATAGGCATGTGTTTGTGTGTGCAATTTCCAATATTTTGCACATATTTTGAACTTCAAAACGGTATACAATTCCCAAAATATTTGGATCAAATCCATTACTGATGTACAAGATGAATCTATGTTCTTCACTATAACAACAACATATTTAACTTTTCTGTCTGTTTATTCTATTCAATTTACCAAAGTGCATCTAGGTTTGTATGAATCAATTTTTCTGACTCAAAACTTCTGCCTCCGCAACTATTGCATAGTTGAAAATTATATATACAGAAGGAGTATATGAAGTAAGAGAATGAAATAAAAGAACTAATATTTAACTATTCATTTTTAAATGGATGGTTAAATTAATGAAATTATATACCAGTTAAACTGATATTAGTATAGTATACTATTGACCATTCATGTAAAATTGAATGGTAGATTAACGCTTTTCACCCTCTCACCTGATACAGAGGACATTAGTTCAGATTTGTACTTCTAACGTTTTTACTTGATACATTCCTTACATGTGTGTTTGTAATGTGTGCGCTCTTGCACACAGAAGATTGTGCACTTCACTTCCTTTTAACATTTTAAAGGAAGTAATAATGTAGCTTGTGAGCTATGGCTTATTCAACCCACCATCTCTTTATTGCATTGAAATCTTTTTTTAGCTTTCCATATTGTAGCATCCTAATGGAATTGATTTTTGAGCATCCATATATCTTTGTTATGTTCTTGAACTACAGTCCTTTAATTTTTCACCCCTTTCCTTCTTAACTTGATTTACATATCTATGTGCAGGTGAAGCATAAGATTGGAGTAGAAGAAATTGTGAATCATGTCATACAGGCATGGGAAGCAGCCACAGGGAACAAACGTCGTTAAAATCTGTTTGAAATAACGGTTTCCTTTATGTTGTATGTTTTCTTAGTATGTTCAAAAACAACACTAGAAACATGATGTTCACAATGTGGACTCCTCTTATGTTGTGTCTATTCCTGCATGTTACTGTAAGAACTTAATAAACATGTTACTGCTTAATGCTTATCCTTTTCTCTATTCTTCCCTGATAATGCACTTGTTTAGGGATGATAAAATTTATTATGAAAATTAGTCCAATAAAATGGTGATACGGTTGAAAGGAGACTGTAAAATTTATTTACCAAATACACCGAGAAAGCTAGAACTATAAGAAAATATTACATTGGATTTTTTTTTGTTCCTTATCAAGAAATTCATTAATGGGTAAAAAATCCCAAAAATATATATTAAGAGGTAGATTCTTTAGATTTAATAAAATTGAGGAGAAATAAATGCCGCTCAATAATATTAAATGCTAAGCGAGACTTTTTTTATTTTATTTTATTTATCGGTAAGAATGTTTGAATTAAGATTCTGTGCATATTCTTTTAGTTTTTATCATTTGGAAGTTAATTATATTCTATAAATGCAAACTAGTAATTATTATGTACCAGCACATTTAAAAAAAAAAGATAGAATATAGAACTATAATTAAAAAAGGGAAGGTTGTAACAACTCAATTTTTCGCTGGGCCAAGGGCCCAATTCGTTGCCCGGAACGGGCCGTTTCAAAAGTGAAACGGGCCGTTCCAGAATAAGGAAATGCTTAGAAAATGAAGTAGGAGAACGGGTCGTTCCAATTGGAGAACGGGCCGTTCTGGATTGGAGAACGGGCCGTTCTGGAAACAGAACGGGCCGTTCTGCTGAGTCTGAGAACGGGACGTTCCGGTTTGAGAACGGGCCGTTCCAGTTGAGAAATTTGCGTAGGTTTGAAGGGTCCAGAACGAGCGTTCCAATTTTGGAATGGGCCGTTCCGGTAGGTGAGCCTGAAATCCTATAAATAGTGCCCTTCACCTGTCATTTTCACACATATCTCATTCTCTCTTCCTATTATTTTCTGTTCTCTCTTCTTTCCCTCTTCTTATGCACTCTCTGAAGACCAAGAGGAACCTAGCGGAGGAGATCAACCAGATCCTTAGTTTCAACTACTATTTATCCAGGTACGGGGGAAAAGAGAATTATTTATATGTGGAGTTACATGAGGGAATTTGGTAGAAGAAGAGCCCTTAGGATTACGAGTAATTTTATAATTATTTCTGTTTGAAGAATTATTGGCATTATTTGATTCTGTATATATTTAGGACTACAAATATATGATTTGTTTATAAAAGTGATGTTCTGGAAGAGAGAACGAAATTGTAGAAAAGTGCCTGTGAGCTAGGTTTTGGAAAAATTGGATTATTTCTGTTTGAGGAATTAATTATACCATTAAATTCCATATGTGTTGAGGATTAGAAATATATATTTAATTTGTAAGAATGATGATCTGGGAGAGAGAACGAAATTGTAGAAAAGTGTCTGTGAGCTAGGTTTTAGAACAATTGGGGGTTTTACAGTTTATGTTGAATTTATATTAAATTGCTAATTCTATTGATTATTATATTAGTTAAAGAATGTTATTGTTATATTATTTGATAAAATTGATAATCTAGATGAGGATTCATGGTGAATTATTTGAGGGGTATGTGAACCACCATTTTGTGTGGATTGTGTATGTATTGTGGAATTGATATGTGGATATGGATGTGGATGTGGATGTGGATGTGGATGTGGATGTGGATGTGGATGTGGATGTGGATGTGGATGTGATTGTGGTTCCTCACACTTGTGACCAGGGGTGGCACGACCCTAGGCAAGAAATGCTACAGGCGTGACCTTGGCATAGTATGGGATGGGTGATTCCTCATGCTTATGTCGGGGGTGGCACGACCTCGAGCAAGAGATATTGCAGGCGTGACCTTGGCACAGTGTAGGATGTGTGATTTCTCATGCTTATGTCGGGGGTGGCACGACCTTGAGCAAGAGATGCTACAGGCGTGACCTTGGCATAGGGTTAATTGTAAGATTTGTGATGGATTGGTGTGATTGCGAATTGTGATGTGATGATGATGCATGATTGATAGAGTTATGATATATTGAAATGTTTATGAATATTTTATAATGAGATGATATGTTGCGTTTTTCCTTGTGTGCTTTACATATAAATGTTTTCTTTTCTCACCGTACAATTTGTGGATGTTTTAGGTGAGGAAGATCCGGCTATGAGTGGCATCTAGAATGCCAACAGTTGAGTTGTGGGTATGCTCTGATATTGTGACATCGGGGCAGAGGACTTCTAGGACATGAACTTTATTTGTAAATGGAACTGTACTATTATTTTGAAAACATTTTGTAACCTCTTATATTTTATTTTCCAAGTTTCTTTTTCAAAATATTTTGGATATCGAAGAATGTTTCTAAAGGTAAAAATGTGAACCCTTTTACCGACGTTGAAAAATTTATTTCTTTAGTTTATTTATACAATATATGTGTTGGAGTTGATTATTATCAATCATCTATTAGGTTTTCTGCTCAATTTTTTTCGTATAATTAAATATATGATAATATCAAGTTAATTACAAGACCTCGAAAATTAGGCCTAAACTCAATGCTGGGGTTGCTTTTTGAGAAAGCTGGCAAATATAAGAAAAGTAATTACAAGGGAATTCTACGATTTACAATTTCATGTTGATTGCGCTTGCCAAGTTTATATAAATATATCACACATGGATTTAAGTAGAAAATAACTCGAAATTTCATCTTTTTTATGATTAAAACAATTACACCTAAGTACACTACTTCCTCTCAATTTCTTTGTTTGTGACTTCTCCAACTTCTTACAAAAAATATCAAAACAAAAATACCAAGAAAATCATAATAATTGATACACGAGACAGAAAAAAAAAAAACAGAACGTAAATTCAAACCACTTGAATTTTTTTTGAAATATTCGGTCATAGTCTCATAGATATGTACAAGCGGCAAGTGTAGTATTTATTATACATGCTTGGACAAAATATAATTTTACTTTTTATATATGACAATCGAAGTCAAAACTAAAAGTGTTTATAGCAATTCATTTAACTGAGTTACTCGGTTTGGATACATAAAATTTGATTTAACATAAAGATTCAAAGTTTAGTAAAGTTCTCAATTCTACTATGTAGATTTAGTGTTCAATTCATCCCAAGACTTATTTTTTACTACTATTTAAACTTCCCTAATAATTACTTCATCCTCAAAGTTTGGGAAAGTTCTCAATTCTATTATTTATATATTGTGTTCAATTCACCCTTAGACTCATTTTTATTATTCAAACTTCCCTAATAATTACTTCATCTTAATGACATTAATATTATTTTTACTGAGATGACATCTTTATGATGTTAATACTTAATAGCATTAATAATGACATTATGATTGAGTTACGAATAAAAATAAAGTTCTGTAAAAAAAATCAAACATAAAAACTTAATTTTAAAAGAAAAAAAACCGAGTTAGAAGAAAAAAAATCTATAAAATAAAGTTAGGAAACCATTAACAAAATTAAAACAAATTATTTACTCAATAAAGTTTGATAATTTTTTTTTACAACAATAAAATTTGATAACTTAAATCTAAGCATTAAAAAAGAAGAAGATTGAATTAAGTTTGATAAATTTTATTTTGACAACAATAAAGTTTGATAATATTTATATTGCAAAATAGACTTTTACATGGGATTTTGTTTTAAAAGAAGAAGAAGTTGAATTAAGCATTAAAAACAACTTATAAGTGATAATGGGTCAATTTCTTAACTAAAACCTTTTAAAGACAAAAAAATGTATAGGTTTTTATACGTTTACTATTTATTTTCGACTTGTTATTTCAAGAAATCACGGTGATTATGTAAAAAAATAAAATATTGATCATATGTGTGAGCACATACTTTAATACCTCAATCGTTTTTTAAAGCCAAACATAAGTTTAATTTTCGATTAAAGAAAATATCATTCATTTATAATCCTTCAATTAAAAATTCTATCAAAGGTGTTTTCATATATGTTACATAAAAAAAAAAAAGCATTTTTAATTTCAATATCTATTAATGGGAGATAAAACTAATTTCAAATTTCTTTTTGAGTCAAAATTGATATCATTGTATTTAATGGATGTTTACTTTAATTTTATTTAAAATTTCGATCATCGTAGTACATACCATTGTTGAATTTTCGCTTTAGAAAAGCTTAGGTTGTATTTTGGTCCAAGAAAAGTTGGGCTAGAAAGTGGACAATGTGGTTTTCGGAAACTTACATGTCCTGAAATTAGCCCAAAAAGACTATAGGTTTGTGGTGTAGTTGCATCATGTTGGAAGACTTTAGATAATTCATTACAGGGTCACAACAATTGTAGGTTTAGATAATATTTTACGTTCCAATCTCCCACACCTTATACCCTATTATAGGAGAAAAAAAATTACTGTTAGACACCGGGGCAATAGTTTATGTCTTTTAATTAAAATGTTTAGAATTTAAATTTTATATTAAAAACCCATTTTATATGTGAAATTTCTGACAAAAATTAGTTACTATCCCTAATATAGATGATAGATACTTTGTATAATACTATGATTTTTTATTTAGGAAACTGTGATGAAAAATTTTATGAATTATAATTCATGGTGATATTGACTTGATGCCAGATCTTTGAAAATAGAGGCACTGTAATGATTGCAATTATTATTCCAACTTTGTCTGACTCGGTAGAATTATTGATTGATAATAGATGTTCAATGGTCTGCCACAAGCAACGACTTCGTTTTAAAGTACAAGACCAACGTTATTTATGTTAGCAAGTTTATAGCATTTCATCGGCTATTTTTAAAATATATATATACTTAACGACAAACATTTAAATTAAAAATATACATAATTTATTTATAAAAATTTCAATTATTTTTTTTTTAAAATTATATTTGCCATTTTTTTATAGATAGAGTACAACACAAGAATAATAATCATCTAAAGAAGTCGTATTTGTTCCACCTCGATTTTAGAAATACAAATACTTAATCAAGCTTGAACATGGCCCAACATTAATGAAGTTACAATAAAGTTGTCATGAAATTCAACTTACATGTTTGTACCAGTAATATGATATGGTTTTTGAATTCTTTGCCTC